GGCTAATAAGCAACCCGACTTAGCCTTAAATAATTAAGCCTAAAAATTTAAGTAAGATTTTCTGTTTTAGTAGCTGATTAATAATAAATTGCTTATTAATAGTTCCTAAAGTTAACCTTTAGGCTAGGCTTTAGGTCTAGAAGCTTTTATTAAGGCTTAGGTTAACCTTTAGGCTAGGCTTTAGGTTTAAAAGCTTCTATTAAGGCCAAGCTTATAAATATAGTAAAAATAAAAAATCTTTTAAATATCTTTTCTTATTATATAATATCTCTTTTTCTTTTCTTTTTATTTCTTTAACTTTTTCCTTTTTTTTATCTTTATATATATCTTTTCTATCTTTATAGCTATTTATCTAGCTTATTTCTCTTTTATCTCTAGCTATTTTACTTACCTTAAACTCTTTACTTACCCTATACCTCTACTTACCCTATACCCCTATGCCTTTTTATAGCTGCCCTACCTGTAAGGGCCGCTATACTAATATTCTTAAGCATATTTAGAAAAAACACCTGGCCAAGACCTATATAGATAAGCAGCTCTAGCTACTTAGCTTAGTTAGCTGCCCTTACTGTACTATAGCCTGCCATGGCTTGCATAGCATAAGGACCCATAGTACTAAGATCCACAGTATAGAAGGTAAAAGCTATATTTCTACCTTACCTAGGCCAAGGACCTATATAGCTACTAGGACCACTAGTGCCTTTTTTACTAGTTAATCAAAGCCTAGTACTAGTCCTAATTAGGCTAGTTAGGACCTGATTTTTAGTAATAAGGCTTCTATAAGAAGGAAAAGGCTAGCTAGGACGCCTTTTCCTAACAGGCAAAGACCTCCTTAATAGCAAAGGCAGCTACAGCTTACCCTAGACCTAAGATCACAAGACCCCTCGCCTAGGTCAAGATTAGGGTTAGTTATAAGCAGCAGCAGCTCCTTAGCTAATATAAAAGACCCTTACAAGGACCTACAAAAGGCTACCCTAAACCCTTAAGAGAAAGAGGCTACCCTAGACCCTTAAAAGGAAGAGGCTACCCTAGACCCCTAAGCAGAGACTATAGACCCCTTTAAGATTAATCCTCCCCTAGATAACCTTCCTAGGGCTAGGTTAGGCTTAGAGGCTAGTCTATAGTCTTTAAGCTATGAGGGCGAGGGAAGACCCTTTAGTAGGGCCTCTTATAAGGCTCCCTATAGGGCTTCTATATAGGAAAAAGGCAAAAATACTCTCTATAACTCCCTAGATAGAAAAGAGTCTTTTTCAAGCTCTTTCTCCTCTTCTAGTTACTAGAAAGAGCCTACCCTAGAGCAGCTACATTACCAAGCTATAGCCCCTATTCTAGAAAAGGCACCTATAAAGAAGCTACTAGCTTTCTTAAAGGTCCCTATACTAGAAAAGAGGCTATATACTAGGCAGGCTACTCTCTTTATAGCTACAGCCTATAAAGTAGCTAAAGCCTTTTTAAAAAGACCTATAAAAAGGTCTTTATTACACTTCCTTCTTTTCCCTAGAATCCTAGGGTTAGGGCTATAGAAAGGAGGCCTAGGCGCTCTATTAAAGTCCTATCCTGCTACTATCCCTACCCTAGAGACCCTATAGCCCTTACAGCAGCCCCGAGACCGCCCTAACGTAGCTAGACCTCCTGTAGTATATAGCCCGGCTAAAAAGGCTACTAAGCTACTGGAAAGAGGCTACCTAGGCCGGGCTGTTAGGGCCCTTATAGACCCTACTCTAATAGCGCCTAATACAGCTAAAAATAGGGCTATATTGCTAGAAAAGCACCCTATTGGCGCTACAGACCCCTTTCAGAGCAGGACCTGCCTAAGACCTAGCTAGCTAATTATACCTAAGGCAATTACAGAGGCTATTAGGTTAATAAGGAAGGAAAAAGCCCCCAGCCTTAGTGGCTAGACTAGGCCCCTTCTAGACCTAGTAGTAGCTAAGGAAGATTCTCCTGTAATAGCCTTCTTAAGGCTGCTAGCAGATATAATCCGTTAGGGCATAGCTTTAAAAGCTGACCTTTTATGTACTAGCTACCTTATAGGCCTAGAAAAGCCAGGTAATGGGGTTAGGCCTATAGCTATAAGGGACCTTATTTATAAGGTAGCTATGAAAGCGATTCTTATAACCTTATATAGGTTAGAGATACTGCTACCTTTCTAGCTAGGTGTAAACAGCCCAGGAGGCATTGAACTGGCTATCTTTCTGCTAGAAGAGGCTATTTTAGGCCCCAATAGTGCTGATTTCCAGTATCTAACCTCTATAGACCTTGCTAATGCCTTTAACTTAGTAGATAGGGCATTTATAGTAGCTTTAGTAGCTACTTATACCCCTACCTTCTATAAGGCAGCAGCTTGGGCTTATAATAGCCCCTCTCTTTTAGTAACTAAAGACAGTAATTTTCTAGCCTCTTCTAAGGGAGTTAGGCAAGGTAACCTAATAGGACCTCTTCTATTCTCCCTAGCCTTCCGACCTATATTAGAGTTATTAGCTACTAAGCTGCTAAAAGCAGCCCTAGTAGCGTATCTAGATAACCTCTATATCCTCGACCCAGCCTCCCACAGCACCCTAGAGACAGCTAGGAAGGTCTTCTCTAGGTCCCCTTTCTAGCTTAACCTAGTAAAAAGCAAGGAAATAGCAATAAGGGACCTAAAAGAGAAAGGAATAAAGGCCCTAGGCTCCTTTATAAAACTTATAGCGCTAAAAAGAGCCTTCCTAGAAGGGAAAATAAGAACTCTAAAAAAGGCCTTACTAGCCCTTTAAGACCTTCCTAAATAGCATGCTTTACTCCTTCTTAGGGGAAGTATACAGCTCCTTTTAAGGCACCTATAAAGGCAGCTAAACCCTATAGGTCTAGAAGACCTGTAGGAAGAAATAGATAGCCTAATTAGGCAGGCTATTATAGCCTTACTAGCTAGAGGCCCTAGTAACTGCCCTAAGGAGCCTAGCCTGGACCTAATAGCCCTCCCTGTTAGAAAGGGAGGTCTTGGAATCCCCCTACACCAGGAGCTAGCTACATAGCTATATTAAGCAGCCAAGGAAGCCTCTGAACCTATCTTAGAAAAAATTAAAAAAAAGCCTCCTATAGATACAGGCCTTAGGCTAGGAAAAACAGCCCAGGAAGTACTAAAAGAGGCTAATAAGGCTAGGTTATAAAGCTTCCTTTAGGATCTACCTACTAGCTATAAGCAAGCTAGGCTAGAAAACGCTAGCTATCTAGGCCGTAAGTAGCTTGGAGTCCTGCCTATAAAAAAAGACCTATTTTTTGCAAACTCTAAGATTATAAAAGCCCTAAGAAGCAGGCTTTTCTACTTTATTAAGCCTTCTAGCTTGCCCTGTAGCTCTTGCAGGGCTATAGCAGCTCTAGGCTATAAAGATACCTGTAAGGGCGCTAATAGAAGGTGGATTGCAAGGCATAACAAGGTTATAGAGGCCTTTTATAAAGCCCTGAGCAGCTAGCCTGCTCTAGAGGTAGAAAAAGAACCTCTAGTAAATAAGGAAACTAGCCTTAGGGCTAATCTAGCTATAACCCTAGGAATAAGCTAGTATTACTATAATATCCAAATTGTTACTATTTCTAAGGATTTAGCTAGGAAGGACCCTTATAGCACCCTTGCAAAGGCTGCAGAGGAAAAACGCTAGAAATACAGGTTATTAGGGGCCTTTTTCCAGCTAATTATTATCTCTGCAGGCAGCCTTATAGACCTAGAGACTGCTAAGACCTATAAGAAGCTCTAAGAGCTTGTAGGCCCTCTATTAGCTGCCCAGCTTAATGCCACTATAGGCCTGACCTTGACCAGAACTAGGGCCATCTTAGCAGCTTCTATAGCAAGAGAAATCCCTGCAGGCCTAGCTAGGTCAGTCTGGAATACCTCTAAAAGGTCTTCCTAGACCTCTCTTAAGCTATTTTAGCCTTATATCCCTCCCCTTAGCTTTTTTAGCTATATCTTTTTTTAGCTTTTCTAGCTATATCTTTTTTTAGCTTTTTTAGCTATATCTTTCTTTACTAGCTTCTCTAGCTATATTCCCTTTTTTTACTGCCTTTTCCTAGCTATACCTTTTCTCCCTAACCTTTTCTATTACCTCTCTTTTTACCTTATTAGCTATATCTCTTTTTCTATTTTTCTTACTTTTTTTTTATTTCTTAAGAAAAATCTTTACTTTTCCTTACTAGATCTTAGTTAGAGAAAAACACTTTAGTAAAGATAGCTTAGATAGTTAATACTAACCCTATCCTAACCCTAAGATAAATTACTTAAATCTTTACTTTTTAATAATACTAGTTTTATTAAATTACTTACTATAGTTTTAATTTATACTAACTTTCTATTTTTAATTTATACTTACTCCTTGTTATTAATAGTATAGTTTTAATTTATATAAAATTTTAATTTACCTATACTTTATATAATTTAGAATTTAAAGTTAGTTTTATATATTACAGATTGCTAAAACTACTAATAGTTCTATTTACCCTAAACTGTTCTTTTACTTTAGCTAATAAATAATTTTAATAACTCTTTAAACTAGTTATTATAAAAAGAATACCTTATTCTTCTAGTTATAGCCTAGGCTACTTTTACTTTAGACTTTATCTTTATAGCTAGTAGTATTCTAGTTATTTTTTAAGCTGCTAAATAGTATAAGTCTTTAAACTTAATTAATTATAATAATAGTATTAATATTCTTATAATGTAAGTATTCTTTACCTTGCTTATTACTATAACTATTACTAATTTATTCTTAAGGCTATTAGCAGTTTAATCTGGGTTCCCATAACCTCCGTAATTGGACGAGCACTGACCTTGTTTTGGTTTACCTTCCTTGGTCTTATCTTCTCGATCCTTTCATCCGTTTTTACTGACTTTGAGATGTTCATGGGCGTCCGAGCCATTCAGGGACTGTTCCTTACATCTGGTCAGACGATCGCGATCGCCTTTATTAAAGATATCTTCTTCTTCCACGAGCGAGCGCGAAAGATTGGCCTCTGGGTTCTTATGTATATCACATCCCTGTACTGGGGCCCATTGCTTGCCAATTTTGTTATTGGAGAGACCCATCAATGGCAGGATGCCTTTTGGCTTGGAGTTGGGGTCAATGGCATTAGCTTGCTTCTCATCTTGTTTTTTTTTAGATGAGACCTGGTACAACCGTGATTTGCCTTCGTCTGCTTAACCGGCTCGTGGTCAAGGCTTTTTCTCTCGGCTTGTTCGGCTTACTGGCCTATGGCAGATGAAGCATCATTCTGGATACTTTGAGTCCGTTTTTGATGCCTACAAGAGAATCCTCCTCATCTTGTCCAAGCCAGTTATTCTCCTGGTTCTCCTTGCTTAGTGAGTTTGCTCTGCACCTTCTGCCCTTCGTGTTATAGTCAAAGAGCTGACAGAATCTCCCCAGCTTCATGTGTTTTGCATGGGCAATTGGTGTCAATATTTCGACCGCCATTCTTTTCGGTCTTCCACAAGCGATGGGAGGCTATGGTTACAGCTTCACTCAGCTGGGATACCTTCACTTTGCGCCAATCGTTGGCGTTTTTCTAGGGGAAATCTTCGGTCATTTCTTCAACGATCACCTCACTCGAAGCTACGTCCAAAAGCATAACGGTGTTTTTGAACCCGAGGCTCGTCTTACGACCATCTACATCTCAGCTATCCCAATGATTGCCGGCCTCGTCTTGATGGGACAAACTTTGCATAAGCATCTTTCAGTTGCGGCAATCGTCGTAGGATGGGGCATGCATGCTTTTGGAATTATGCTCGCGTCTGTAGCCGTGGCTTCATACCTCTTGGATGCGTACCCTTCTGCCCCTGCAGAAGTCTGTGGTCTGACCAACGTGTTCCGAGCTTTGAGTGGTTTTAGTGTCGGGTACTACCAGCAGCCGTGGGGGGCCAAGGTTGGTTACGATGGAAGCTTTGGAACTCAAGCTTGTATTGTAGCGGCAAGTATGATTCTCATCGCGATTGTCCACCGCTTTGGCCACCAACTTCGTTTGAAGTTTGGCCAGGTTAGGTGAAAAGGGGAGGACTTATTGCAATCGTCTTGGGGTTCAATTTCTTAGTCTCACTCAGGAAGCTCGCTAAAATTAAGGTTGATAACACTCCGAGTTATCCGAATAAGATTTATCTGCCGAAGGTCGATCCCTATACTAAAGCAAAGGATGTAACGTGTTCTCTTCTATAAGTAGGGATTAAGCTTGTAAACCTTAATTAACCTTTACTAGTAACAGAAAGCAAGCGGTTTAAGGCCCAGTTCACCTGGATTAATAATGCTCCTTAATTAAACTCTGTATAATTAAAACCGTATCTATACGGAGTAAGTAGTTATCTCAAAATGCAATTAATATATATTATGTACTAAGATCTCGCCACTCTCCCGCAAGGCCTCTTCTTTTTACAATTCTCTATTACATACACTCTTTTTTTCCATTTTATTCACTCTTTGAAAGTTCTCCACCATGAAGTCACTCTTTTTATCCCTCATGGCGTTGACTACCACGGTAGCGAGCCCCGTTTCCCAAATCACTCCACTCATTAAACCCGGCTTTGCTCCAACATTCATTGAAACATTCACCGGCTATCCAGGATCACTGCCCTCATCTAGGAACTGGATCTTCGACCTTGGAACTTCGTACCCAGGCGGAGCAGAACGATGGGGAAACAACGAGTTCGAAACCTATACCAACGATCCTTCCAACGTATATATAACAAAAGACCAAAATTTGGCTATTACCCCACGATTGAATAAGGGCAATTGGACATCGGCAAGGATTGAGACTCAACGAAGCGATTTCGTTGCTGAAGAAGGAGGGCAATTGCTTGTTGAGGCGCGCCTGAAGCTTGGTGGAGCGCCCTCCTCAAAGATGCAAGGCATCTGGCCCGCCTTCTGGGCTCTGGGCAGCGAGTTCAGAGGCAACTACACGAACTGGCCGATGGCTTCAGAGTGGGATATTATCGAGGTGATTAATGGTGTATCAACGGTTTATTCCACAATCCACTGCGGGTTTGCTCCTGGGGGACCATGCAACGAGTATAACGGGATTGGAAGTGGAGGCAGGGACTTTTCCAGGGGCGAGTTCCATACACTAGGGTTCATGGTTGACAGGAGCATGTGCGGCAAAGGAAAGAATGCTACTTGGCGAGACGAGTCGCTGAACTGGTTCCTAGATGGAAAGAAAATCTTTAATGTCACTGGTGCGACTGTTGGGGATAAGCCAAGCTGGGTGCAGCTGGCGCATAAGGAGCATTTCCTGCTGCTTAACGTGGCCATTGGTGGGAACTGGCCTGGTGCACCAAACAATGCTACAATTGATGGGCCCTCGGTCAACATGGAAGTGGATTATGTTGGTGTTTGGAACTCATTGTAAGATAATCATATTACCAATTATGGCCTGTATTTTATTTCTATTATGTATTTTCTATCGTCATATTTAAAGGAAGCTACTTTTTACCTTATAAAATTCTCAAGCAAGAATTTCTAAAATTAAGCTCTGTATAAAAAATGCCAAAGGAGTTAATTTACCTCGTTGCTGAGCTGGCACGGTTCTGAATTCTGGACCGAGCCTGGCAGTACGTTGAGCCGTCCCGCTTCTTTTCCGTTGCTGTGGGGGGGCATTGACGGGATTTCGGAGCAACGCGTTGTTGACACGCTCCAGCCACAACGCGCTACCGACAGCGCGTCTCAAATGGTGTGTGGGGACCTTCACCTATTCGCTCATCTGCCATCACCTGAGATAGAACTTGACGATGACCTCGGAACGGAAAAGATTGCGACATGTCCGCGAGAGCTTTTCGACTTCTCAATTTTAGACAGCAGCGCCTATTCCAGTTGTCTTCCGGCCGCTGCCGAGGGCTAAGAAATATTAGCTGATCAGAAATCGGCAGTCGTTAGTCTTGTAATGAATATGAGAGCTCCTGACGAGCTCATAATGAGTCTGTTCTGATACGTGAAGCTCACGATAACAGCGACGATTAGTCCATGTTACTATCCCTTCACTACCTATCTGAGTTATACGGGTGCACATCTATTAGTGAGACCTATTCGTTATCTTAATCGCCACAGACACCTTTCACATTGTCTGTCGTGTCGGCGCCAAAAATATGGCACAAACTCACTCTCCTGTGGGATTTCGTGATTACATCCCAGCCGCGGATGCCCCAAGAAGCATACAATTGGCAGAGTCTGACACTTACCAATGGGCTGATCATCGATGCTCAGAGCCATTCATGATCGGGTGGATGAAGGCTTGGAACGAACGCTACGACCAGCCTTATAAGGGAATCACAGCAGATGGAAGGGTAATTCCCAACCTGTTCCGTCTGGCAGACAAGCACGAGAATTTTGGAGCTCCGATACCTGCTGTCGAAGCTGCCCAGAACGCCATCAATGTTGCATCAGAAGAGGAGAGGGAGAAACTTCTCAGACCGGTTGATGCACCAGAATGGCGCTTTTGGATGAACCCTGAGATTTATGTCTTCAAGCATGGTGTACGACTGGAAGAAGCCTCCAAGGATCTTGTCGCAGCTTTACATGTTCTTATGCAAACCAGTCTATCAGCTGAGGGATATGAAAAGGCTCATGGTTGTATGAAAGTCAACCAATTCCTCGGCGAGGTAGTCAACGGCACAAAGGCTCTAAACGAGAACTCGTACAACTTTGTCATCTTCGGCATACCATCTCCCGAAGAGCCATGGGGCTGGCAGATATTCGGCCACCACCTCTGCATTAATTGCTTCATGATCGGAACGCAGATGGTGGTGTCACCTGTCTTTATGGGTGCCGAGCCTAATATCATTGATGCAGGTCCTAATGAGGGTCTTGAGCTCTTCGTTGATCAAGAACAGACTGCCCTCAGCCTTATGCAGTCATTTGATCCTGAGGTTCAGAAGGACGTTCAAATCTACAAGAAGCTGAGTGGCGATGAGTACCCTGCAGGACGATGGCATCGAGCAGATCAACGACATCTCGGAGATGCTTTTCAGGACAACCGCATTGTTCCATACGAGGGTGTCAGGGTAACAACATTCTCCGAGTCTCAACAAGACGCGGTCCGCAAACTGGTCGAACTAAGTCTGAACTACCTACCGGAGAAAGCACTAGCCTCCCACCTTAAACAAATTGCTAACCACTGGGGTGACACTTGGTTCTGCTGAATTGGCGGATTTGGAGACAGAGATGCCTTTTACTACAAAGTGCATCCTCCAGTCATCATGGTTGAGTTCGATCATCATTCGGGCGTCTTTCTCAACAATAAGGAGCCTCTTCCCTTTCACATTCACACTCTGGTTAGAACCCCAAATGGCAATGATTATGGGAAGCAACTTTTGAGACAATACCAGGAACAGAAGAATAGGGTTTAGTTGCCATACCCCAGATTCACTGCTAAGGGTGAACGGTTGCTTCTGCTGAATTGGAAGGAAATTTCGGAGTTAGGGGTGTCGAAATCAAACTCCGCTTGTAGTCAATGCTTCAATTTCCGCTCGTATTCTATACGGTACAGCAATGCATCCTAAATATGGTTTCTATCCTCTCCACTTTCCACAATTAACCTGTCGCCATTTTGTAGTATCACCTACAACTCCGCCACTTTCTCTACTTTGATTAAAGCTCATCCCTTTCCTGTAGTGAGCGGACTTGTCGCATCCCAGCTTTCGGGATCTAACTTGCATTAAGTCGATGGCATTATGTCAGTAGATATTCATTCAATATGAGTATATATAGTGAACATCAATGTGATACTCAGTAGTAATCAAGCAAGCAAATCATTCTCTTCTTTCTAAACCAAAATCACCTCACCAAACACCCGAAGAACAAAATGTCCGCGCGACCTTCTTTTGATGCACCTTGGTCACTGAATGGCAAGACTGTCATTGTGACAGGAGGCTCTCGTGGTATTGGGCAAGCTATTCCCGTTCATTTAGCACGTAAGGGCCTTACCAAACTGGCGATCACATATGCAAGCAACATCGAGGCTGCAGAGGATACTCTGAAGAGATGCCAGGAACTCGGTGTGGAGCAACCATCAAAGCAGACGCGCTTGATCCTCACTTTTGACCGAAGACCATCGCCGAGGTCGTCAAAAGACTAGGCACTCCAGTCATCGATATCCTCGTTAATAATGCCATCTTGTCTGACCCTGCCAAAGTATTACCGATTAAGGACATAACCTTGGACGTGTTTCTCGAGATAATGCAGGCAAATGTTTACGCTCCGGTTTTACTTATAACGGCCCTGCTATCTCATCTTTCCGAATATGGAGGCCGAGTGATAAATATCTTCAGCATTCTAGCCTACCAAGCCAATAGCGATCCGACTGTGGCATGTGGAGCTAGTAAAACCGCTCTCTAGAGCTACACCCGATCCTTTGCTGAAAACTTCTTTAAGTTAAAGAAAGCGACGTTCAACAGTGTCTTTGTGGGCCTAACAGCCACAGATTCGATCAAAGCCAGCCAACACATGATGCCACCGGGCTTTCTCGATGGGCAGATCCGAGATACAACCGCGAGAGAAAGAATTGGTGTTCCTGACGATATCGCCTACGTCGTGAGCTTCCTCGCAAGTGAAGAGGCTCGTTGGGTTAATGGTGCTGCTGTAAGTGCTAATGGCGGTGATAGGCTTGTTATGTCTGCCCTTAGTTAAGTTCAATGGCTAGGATCTATTTACAGAGGTTAAACTTATTAAGCTACACTAAAACAGTACCTTAACTAACCAGATCCAACCTTTCCCTATATTAAGTCTTAGTTATGTTCCTTACGTACGTGCTAACTACACTGAGTCAAAACAGGAGATGGCCTGAAGATGTGCTAGGATCTTTTGTGGTCGAAACTGACCTCATTGTCAAGGTTGAGCATTCCATTGGCGTGGCTCGTGACTATTATCTATACGTGATGAAATACCAGTGGGCTTCATATAATACAGGCTTGAGTTTACCTATTGGTTCGGGCGAACCTGTTTTTCTTGCGAATTAACCTCCAGTTCAACCAGTCAAACTCTAATTTTAAGCAGGACACGGGATCACCGTCTGTTCATATTCTATTAGGCAGGCATCTATGTTTATATTTATACTGTATACATCTTGACATCGACACTGTTGTAGAGTAATGCAGTTCCGGTTACATTAGCTTTTTCAGGTTATGTTCCTTATACTCGTTAGCAAAATGAGACATGGATAAGTATTAGTTAATGAACTTACTGGCTTATGACTAGTTTCATAGTCAATGTGCACAAAGGCACGCTCAATGACGGGCAGCTTCTCTAGCTTAATCTGGAGGTCTTCCGCAACGTCACGCGCTACTTCAACTCGCTCGTTGCGATCAATCACTATGTCGACCTCTGCAACAAGCCAGGGGCCTGAGTAGTAGGCCCTCACCGTGTCGACCTTTTCGATGAGAGGCGAGTGTGTCATCGCTAAACAGTCAGTATCTATCCTACCCGCCATTCGGGTATTATACTCACAGACATATGTGATAAGCTGCAGGAGTTCCTTGTCCGCGGTTACACCAATCATCAGTTGAAACTCGTCATAGGCGGTATGGAGCCAGAGGCCAGCAATGAGAACGGATAGGATAATGGCGCCCATCAGGTCAATCCACCACTTCAGTTTAGAGCCACCGACAGATGTGAGAATACCGAAGCCGTTGATGAAGAGATCATTTCGGTGATCGCGCCAGAGTATATCAACCTGACTGTAAATGTCTTTCACCGTCCAACAAAGGACGAAGAGTCCCAGCTTGGTAGCAAAGGCAACAGTCACGGCAATGACCGACGGCAAAAGAAACTTATTGGTCTCCTCCTCAGATCCGGCCGCCAGGTCACGGGCAGACATGACGATAAGTACAAGTGAGACGGAAAACATGATGAAGGAGAAGACGATGTTGCCAGCAGTCGAGATACGGGCTCTGCCTGAGGGATATTTATTCGGATCGACTTTGTTGACGGCCCGATGGGCCATGTACAGCATTTTACCAGACATAGGATCGAATACGGAGTCCGCCATAGTGGTGAAAAGCGAGAGGGAGCTTGATGAGATAGCGCCATATAGCTGGAGACCGGAGAGGACGATGTTGGCGGCCAAAGAACCTTTGACGCAGATGTTGTACATGAGTGTATTAGCACCGTGAGCGTCTGTCACCTCCTGCTCGTGCTCCTCTACCGACTTGAGCATGGCCCGAATGCTCTCATTCTGTGTTTCGTAAAACTCCTGCAGCGGGTGGTGCTTCTTGAGGCCCAGATGACGCTTGCGTGAGGTATCGGCTCCCGGCATGTTGGATTCGTGCTTGATGTGCGCTGGTAGACCCAAAGGATCATCGACATCATGTTGGACCTCGACATCTTTTCCTTGTACGTGAGCGCGGGCATGTACTGAGCTCATAGCGATCTTCTCTGTCTGGTCGGCCATGTTGTGTATTAAGTTTTAGAACCAATAATGAGAAGGAAGAAACAAGAACTAGGAAAAACAAGGATATAAAAGATAGCGAAAAGAACGAATCATATAACAGACAATTGCAGTCTTGTTTCTCTTCCCATACAGGGAGCCATCTCGCCGGAGATTATTCTGTGATTGCTTCGCATAAAATAGTGGCGTTTGGGCACGGTGGCAACGCCGACGTTAGCATGCACCAGGCCGCTAATCACCTTAGGCCAGACATGTTACCAGGTGCCCAAGGCGACGCTGTAATGAGAGGTCTATCCCGAGCTATAAACTAAACTACAGAAACAAATCATCCCGTCTCGACAAGTTATAGCCTCAATACCACGTTGGATCTCTGAAATCCAGGCTGTGCATAAAACATATCCACAGTGTCATCCCAACCAAGGACAACTCAGGTATATTTTGTCCGGGTGATATTTCTTTTGAAGCTGTCTTATTGGTTTCCTTAGTTGGACCTGGTTCCAGCTCGCTAGGCCGCGTTACGGTGCCGGATAGCCGAGATCTACTTGCTGTGCAACGGTTCCAGATTATAATTACACGTAGCTAGCGAAATCATGGAGCAGCATTCCTTCGGTGTAATATAAGCCACACGGCCGAAAAGGCCTGCTTTGGCTTTTGTCTATCCAGCCATTTGTATATCTAGGTGGCTCTTTCCTGGAATTGCCAAGATATCACTACCTATCCCACCCAAACCTTGCGCTACCTTTCTAAAAGTTTCCAGAAAGTCAAGAGTGTACCCCCACGGAACACGACCCCCAATCATCCAATCGTCAGCGTACCATCCTCTACACGACTCTGGCTGCGACACTCTATCATGGAGGAAGTCAACGACCCATTCAACCTCACATCCCGACGACGAGAAGACGTAACAAAAGAACAAATCAAGAACGACTACCCACAAGGCGATGCACGCTTACTTCGAAAGTTCTATAGCCAACAGAATAAGCTTATAGACTAGTTTCTTAGCGTCGATGATAAAGAAAGGGCACAGGCCAAAGAAGAGGCTCGAGTAGCAGGCAAGATCAAGTTTGCAGTTAACGCATCCTTTGTAGTTAACTTTTGCCTTTTCGTCATTCAGTTATATGCAGCTATCTCGACAGGATTATTGGCAGTATGCTGGCGCATTTATTATATTACATGCCCGCAGCTAACTTGGGTCATAGCTATTTGCAACAGCCGCAGATGCATTTGTAGATAAAACTTGCTTGTTGAGCAAAGTGTTCTAACAGTGGCGCAGATAGACCTTGTTTTTTCTTTTATAATGCTTTAAGTTCTGTCTGCTAATTTAAGCTCTTAGCTATAAGCCATAACTATAAATAATATATCTAGCTAATAACTTAG